CAGCCCTGCGGGCCAGCAGCAGGGCCCGGCTGCTGGGATAGGATGCAGACATTCTCAGCCCTCGGGGACAGGGGTGCTGGAGTGGGAGAATGAGTACAATACAGATACGTGTGACTCAGAAATCGGAAATCCCTGCAGCCTGGGGTGACAGAGGACCTAACAGTGTTAGGTGCTTGGGGACAGAGACTGGACAAGGAGATGGTGGCCACAGGTGACAGACAAGCTTCACCATCTCTCTTCCCAGAAGCCAGCCCATTGCCAGGTCTGGTTTTTTCCTCTCCTTTTGGGAAGAGAGTTGGGAGGAGGGTGACAGCTTATTTGTCAGTTCAAGTGTCTTATAAACCAGTATAATGTAGCTGAGCTCCGATGACTGTGCTCCGAACCAACCATCAAGGCCTGGCCAGTAATAAGTGATCATTGGAAATGCATTCGTTAGGGACACCCGTTCATCCTAGACCAGGGCTCCTACCCATTTCCTGGCCTGGCCCTGCCCACTCTCTGCCCGGGCCCCGGAGGCCTCTCAGTGCAGGTCACTCCCCTTCGTCACCACCCGTGCAGGCCACCGTGCTCACATTCCAGACAGCACAGCCTGCGCCAAGTCTTCTGGGGCTTCCACTCACCCCACCCCACCCTTGTTCTCCCAGAACACAGGGCACTGACCTCAGAGCATTTACCATAGTGTGCTGCCCCCTGGAGTCACGGGATTAAGATTTGTATTTCTTCCCTTTGGCAGGGAATTATAAGGGGTTATTGATTGAACAAGGTGGGCCTGGGAGTGATGGTTTATAGACACATCACGACAACCCTGCAGGATAGGCATGATCTCTTTCTACAAACGAAGAAACTGAGGGTCAGAGATGTTTAGTAACTTACCCCAAGTCACACAGCCAGGAGGGACAGAGCAAGGATTAGGATCCAGGTCTGTCTGATTTCCCAAACCACCTCTTTACCCTTCACAATGGAGTGACTCAAAGCGTCCCCAACGTGAACACTGGACGCACTGAGAGGCCTTTCTGGCACGCACGTGTTCCGTGTTCCTTGGAATCTTCAGGACGGCCTAACAACGCCACGGGTCCACCTCATGGACATCTGCCCTGAGTTCCCGACAACCGCGCACCTCCCCCACCTTCCTAACCTCTTATTTAGAAAACCATAACCTACAGGAGAGCTGAAAGAGCAGAACAACGAACACAAGCATATCTTTCATATTTGCGAGCGTATATACAAACATATACTAGTATGTACTTATATGTTAGAGGTATGAGGTTTTTTGTTTGTTAGTTTTGTTTTTACTTTTTTGATAAATGACTTGAAAGTAACTTGGAGATATTGTGACACCTAACTCCTAAATATTTCAGGATGCCTCTGTGAAGGAGAAAGATTCTCCTCTATAATCACAATACATTGTCATGCCCGACAAATTTAACATGTACTTACTAGTTAATTGAGGGTCTGCATTCAAATTTTCCAATTGGTTCAAGAATGTCCTTTTATAGTTATGTTTGTTTTTTGATCCAGGATCCAATTAGGAATCACTAATTGCATTAACTTTTCTCTCTCGTCTCCTGTAACCTTCAACACTTTTGACTTTTTTTTCTTTTTCATGATACTGACAGTTTTGAGTCCAGACTAGTTTTCTTGTAAAGTGTCCCACGTCCTGGATGTCTCTGTTCCCTCATACGTAGGCGACCTTGCGTGTATCCCACTGCATTACACCAGGAGGCACCTGTCAGTGTGTCCCCTTGTTGATGTCACTATGTCAGATTACTTGGTGTGGCAGGCAACCCGTAGGGGGCCCCTAATGGCTCCTACCTTCTGGTGGTCACATCCTGTGTGTCCCCTTCCTTTGAGGGCTCACTTCGAAAGACTAGAACATGACAGAAGATGTAAAACGTCAGTTCTGAAACGGTGCTAGAAAGACTGCGGTTTTCATTGGGGAGCTCTCTCTCTCTCAGTTGCATCTTGCCCTGGGGAAGCCAGCTGCCCTGCTGTGAGGCAGCCACGTGGAGAGGCCCCCAGGAGTGAGCGTGGAGGGGAGCCTTCTGCCAATAGCCACCTGAGTAATCCATCGACTGTAATAACGTATTTCTGATAGTCCAATAGTGCCAAATCTGGCTAGTAGAAGTTCCTTCAAGCTGAGGTTGGTATCCTTTTGAGGATCCCCTGAGCCTGGAGCACTTTCATGCTTCTGGCTCACCTTGCATCTTCCCTGCCCCAGGCCTGGAATCGGCCATCTCACCAAGGTTTCTTTAGTGGAGAACGGCATTCAGAACCCACGCTCTGGTCACTAGGTTTGCTCCTGGGATCTCATTGCTTATAGGCCCTTTCAGTGGACAGAGCTAGGAGATGTTTCTTTTTTATTTTTCTTTTAAAGCAGTTTTTAAAAAGAAGTTTCCTTCCATTCAAATTCAACTACATGAAGTTCTTCTTCCACTTCCCATCCCATGTTGGTATCTCTCCTCCTCCACATGGAGAACCCTGATTGCCAACAACATCAATATATTCAACTAGAGGCCCGGTGCATGAGATTGGAGCACTGGGGGTCGGGGGTGGGGGTGTCCCTCAGCCCGACCTATGCCCTCTCACAGTCCAGGAGCCCTCCGGGGATGTATGACTGACGGCTTAGCGCTGCTGTGGAGGCAGGAGAGGCTCCGGCCACCTCCACTGCACTTGCCAGCCATGAGCCCAGCTCTGGCTGAGTGGCACTCCTCCTGTGGGAGCGCACTGACCACCATGGGGCAGTTCCTGTGTTGAGTGTCTGCCCCCTGGTGGTCAGTGCACGTCATTGCAGCCGGTCGTTCCACCGTTTGGTCGATTTGCATATTAACCTTTTATTATACAGGATCATTTGCTCTGTCCTACAACACACACAAAACAGTTTCAGAATTACTACCATTTCCAATGAGAAGACTTCAAAGAAAAATCCAAGACTTTGCAGTTCTATTTGTTCTTAGCATGTATCCCACTAAATGTATACAGAGTACAATATTCACAAATCATTGAAATTAGCTGTGTATATGTGTTTCCATTATTAATTTGATATGTAGTTGGGTTTCTTTGTTTCTATTTGCACTTAGTTTTAAGGTTCACTTTTCTCAAATCTTACAAAATTTGATTAATGTTTTAAATATATAAAACTTTTACATGGTACAAAAGTTTTACATGGTCAAAACTATATATTAAAAATTATACTCAGAAGACTTACTCCTTCCATTCCATTCCTATCCATCCACTAGAGGCACCTAGTGTCCGGTTTATTCTTCCTGTGTTTCTTTCTCTTATACAAAAAGCAGCGTACTCTATCCACTCTTTAGCACCTTGTTTTTTTCACTTAATATATCTTCAAAATCACCGCATGTCAATTCTTAGATATATTCCTCAATCTTTTCAGCTTTATGTTAATCCACTGTGTGAATTCATCATTGTCTAATCAGTGAGTATCCTACTGGGTAAACATATAGCTGTTTCTAATAGTTTGTTATTGTAGATATTGTCTTAGTGAATAACCTTATAAATGTATTGTTTTGTATTTGTGGAATTGTACTTTCAGGGTGAATTTCTGGAATTAGAATAAAAGCATGTGTAGTCTGCCTGGATAGTCCCAATTCCTCCCACACAGATTCCACCACGTTGCACTCCCACCAAGGATGATGGGACTGCAATGAAGACCGGGTAGTTCTAAATCGAGTCTATAACATTTGGGGTGAAGCTGAACATCTTTTCATATATTTAAGGTCCATCTACATATGTTGCGTGTGTATCTGTGTGTGTGTGTGTGTGTGTGTGTGTGTGAACTGTTCATGATTTTGCCCAATTTTCTATCCAATTTTGGCCTTTCTTTCCTCGTATTTAAATGTTCCTTATATTCCTAATATTACAGATTAGCTTGTGTCTGTGATAAATATTACAAAACTTTTATCTGTTTGCTCTTTTTTTTATTTGCCACGAAGCTGGATTTTTAAAAATGTTGTTAAATTTATTAAGACTCTTTTATTGCATCTGGATATTTTACTTGTCAATAGAAAGCACTTCTTGCCCAACCAGTTTGGCTCAGTGGATAGAGCATCGGCCTGCGGACTGAAAGGTCCCAGGTTCGATTCTGGTCAAGGGCATGTACCTTGGTTGCAGGTACACCCCCAGTAGGGGGTGTGCAGGAGGCAGCTGATCAATGTTTCTAACTCTCTATCCCTCTCCCTTCCTCTCTGTAAAAAATCAATAAAATATACTTAAAAAAATAAAATAAAAAGTTTAAAAAAAAAAAAAGAAAGCACTTCTTTGGGAATTGGCTGAGCGTGGACTGGGTCTCCTTTTTGTGAGGTAGTGAGACCTCTTTTCCCCTCCGCCAAGGAGGAGTTGGGGGCGCTGCACTGAGCCAGTCTGGCTGGTTTTCCATCTCTTCCTCTCTCAGCAGTTCCCCATCCCTCCCCTTGCCCCAAGGGACCCTGGCGGGCACCGTCACTCGCTGGCGTGGGGAAGGCGGCTGCCACCTGGGAGAGAAAGCTGCCCCATAGCCTCTGCCTCAGCGGGACGCACAGGCACCCGGGGCCCTGGGCTTGCAGGGGGTTTGAGTCATAGAAAGACTTTCCCCACACCCAGGGCGTACATACACCCACCCATGCTTTCTTCTAATACCTGTGCGGTGGTTTCATTTTTCACAGGGTTCCGATCCATTTGGCGTTTAGCCTGATGAGAGAGGTAAGAGGATTGGGCCCAATTTTCCAAAAGCCTGGGTGCCCCGGTGGAGGGGGGTGGGGTAGTGCGGGGAAATAGCGACGAACCTTAAGGTTCAGGCCACTAGGTGGCGTTGCTTTAGACTCATTTCTGCGGGACTGTAGGAGGAATCGCTGACCGTCTGCAGAAGAAAAAGGAAATGACTTGTCAGTGTAATTGGCCAAGAGGAAGCCTAGTGGGAAGTGCCCTTCCTGCCACACAGCCTTGCCGCCCAAAGGCTGGCGTGGTGCTTCTTTCCCCACATCAGAAAGTATCACTTCCTCCGCGTCTGTTTCCCAAGAAGGCAGAGCTGGCCTTCGCAGTGTCTCCAGGCCCCCGGGGAGGCAACGGGGAGAGAGTCAAAGAGAAGTCAGGACGGTCAGGACGGCCACTGCCCTGGCCTGGGAGTGACAGCACCTTGGTTCCGTCCCAGCTGCCGTTCTTGCTGGCCGCCACCGAGCCTCCGGTTCCTCAGCGCCCCATCTCTAAAACGGGACAATGCCTGCCCTACCCACGTGCCAAGGACTCAATGGGGGAACATAAGTGGAGACATCGTACAATGTGAGAAACGCTGTGCGATGTGTTTTCACTGTCATTATGGCTACGTTTTGCTACAGAGGCTATATCTCTCTCTAGAAGGTATGATAGTCATGAGAACTTGTATTTATATACGAATCTGCTGTCTATAAGGCGATTTTTCCATGTGCCTTCTCTCTTGCGGAAGCAACACAGCCTTAATGAGAAAACCGACTAACTTAAAAAGGCCTGCCTAGCGAGGGGCCCCAGACAGCTCGCGGGGCACCTGTGGGCAAAGATGCTGGGCTGGGCTGGCCCCCGTCAGTCAGGCTGGGAGGGCTGCCGGGGAGAATACTCACCCCTGCCTGTGACGGGCTGGGAGGGTCCGGCCGGGTGAGCAGGTGGACTGTGTAATAACAGGAGGGCAGGAGGGCAAGCCCAGTGAGACGGGAGGTCTTGGCTTTGCTGAGAGAACAGCACTGAGCACAACGGATAATGGGACCCTCCTCTCCATCAACAGCTGCTGCCAGGGGTGAGCCAGCTCCTGCTTGTACCTCAGAAGGACCTACATTAGCCCTGAGTGGGAACGCGTCACATGGGCTGTTCAGGTAGCAGTGTTTAAAGACTTCTCTTCTGAAACACAGTGTATTTCCTGTGAGTCCTTACAATTAAGAATACCTATTTTTGATACCAAATGTCTAAATTCATCTGCCCTCTAAAGATCACTTCATCGTGTACTATCTCAGCAGAAAAGATGCTTTCTCCAAATGTGTCAGTTCTATTTTTAAAAAGGTTCAGTGACCTATTTCTGTAATTCTCACAGGCACTGAGAGAACAGCCGTCTCTTTAGGCTCAGCTCTGTCACCGAAAAGCTGCCCCTGCCAGGTGCTGCCTAGAGAGGCACCATCTTGCTTTGCAATAAAGAAGCATAAATAAGTTGCGGGGGGGTGGTGGGGGGTGTGTCAGAGTGAGGTCATGAGCATCAGCACACCCACAGACACAGACGCACTTCTCCATTTTTGAACAATGTCATGATGACTGCTTTAGCCAACCTCGACACCAGGAGATTGCTTCAGAACCAACCATTTCCTGAACCAAGAACTTGACAAGACAGTCCACAGAAGAACTGCAGTTCATCGACTAATACCGGGAACAATAGTGAGCTCCTCTACCAATCCAGGAAATTAAAATTTACAATGCCACTTCCCAAAACTAACCCACGGGGTAAAAAGCCAGGGTGGCGATTGCCCTTGGGTGGGATGAGAGGGTGAAAGGGGGCATGGCAGGGTTTCTGGGGCTCTGGTAATGCCCAGCTTCTTGACGGGTGCTGGTTACTTACTTTGTGGAAATTCACGTGAGATTGGTGTACCTCTCTGATAAACCTCATAGAAAGTTTACATAAGAAAAGCACCCGGCTGGTGTGGCTCAGTGGTTGAGCATCGGCCCAAGAACCAGGAGATCATGGCTCATTTTCGTGCCAGGGGACATGCCATCATTGATGTTTCTATCCTCTTCTCCCTCTCCCTCCCCCTCTCTGAAAGCAACAAAAACATTTTAAAAAAGAAGAAAACAAAATCACTTTCTACCTATTAAGTCTGCAAAAACATTTTTTTTTGAGTAATAATTTTCAGTGCAGTTGAAGCCATATGAAGCTGGAATTTTTTATTTTTCATTGATCTTACAGACAGAGGAGGGGGAGAGAAACACATCAACCCACTGTTCCATCCATTCATGCACCCCATTGGCTGACCCCTACATGCGCCTGGGGACCAAACCGGGTGCCTCTGGACCAGCCCCAAACCAACTGAGCTACCCGGCCGCAGGGATGCTGGAATTTTTGCATGTTGCCAATTGCAGTGAACACTATACAACCCTCTTTCAGGAGGAATTTGGCAATAGCAATTTTAAAGTCTTTGAAGCGTTTACATTTATTAACTCAATAACTCCACTTCTGAGACTCTGTCTTAAGAAATAATCCTAAATGTCAAAAAAGGCTTATGTGCACATATGCATTGCATAACGTTTATAAAAACAAAAACGTATAATAGCAAAACATTGAAATCAATTTAAATGTCCCACTGCAGAGCAATGCGAAGGTAAACCCCATTTCACAGACGAGTAATTGAGGCGCAGGTGGCTGAGTAACTCGCCCAAGGACACGCAGGAAGGAAGGGAAGGTGCAGGGACTCCCCTTCACAAGGCTGGGTCATGTCCAGCCGTGAAGGAGCCTGGAGGGATGTCCCTGGGAGACGATGGTTAGAAAGCTTCCCCCAAGTGTCAGCGATGAGGCCGAAGTCACACTCAGGGGAGCTGGTGAGTCCGCGAGAGGTGAAAAAGGGAGACAGGCAGGGACTATCTTATGAAGCAAAGGGATGTTTGCAACCTCACAAGTGTATTTGTTGTTTCCCCCATATTAAAAGGCAACTGCCAGGTCATACTTTTATAATTTCCATGTCTTATAAAAATTACCTTAGCTGTTTCTGGGCGGCACGTGGGGCTTGAGGCTGAGCGCTGCCCTGGCGCCACCGACATGAAGACCGTGTCCCCAGTCCGGTTCTTCGTGCCCCCGCGTCCCCACCTGAAGCGGAGGCAGCGGTCCTGCACGGCAGAGGCTTTGGTGGGTGTGTCACTGCCGACCTGCAAGTGTGGTTCTGTGACCGATGACGAGGCCAGTAGCTTTCCTGGCCCACAGAGTTCAGGACACTACCCACGTGAGGCAAGTGTAGGGTTACACTTTCCTGTGTGTAAAATAATACAATGACTAGTAAATAATAATATGGGAATAAACTAACAACTGTAAACCTACTTTTGCCCTGCTATGCAAGGACTCACATCCAGCTTCCTGTTGACGATGGCCGGTGAAGGTTGCATAATCCTGCACCCAAACAGCCCGCAGTCAATAGGTGTCTTCTACTCGGTGGATCTGTGTCCTAGTGTTTTCTCACGGCTGGAGCATTTGTGAGAATGAAAACGCCAGGCTACCTGAGTGGTTAGAGGGCCTTTTGGGAAGAAATCAGTGGATAATGGCTGTGCTGCTGTTAATGAAGTTTTAAAGGTTGTAGCCACTATAAAATGTGGGAAAGCATGACAAGCAGCAGAAAAAGAAGCCTCAATGGAAAGATAGGAAGCCTATTAAAGCTTGGACTAGAATGTCTCCTGGAAATCAAAGAGGACACTTACCACAGTATTTTTTCCTGTCGACCTACACTGACACCAGTGATGTCAAGTGGTATTTTCCCAGTTTTTCATTTCTTAAAGAAAATGCACTCCATTTCTCCAACGAAAGTAAATACTTTTTTACAACCCCCTTAGCAGTGTTCTCATGTGACATTTTTATTTTCAGAAACTAATGTAAGGTCAGAAGGCAAGACCCATAGGCTGAGAGCTCGGAATGGCGGGTCAGCTTTTCCTGTAGTGTTTTGCTTTTAAACCAGCCGTGGGCAAACTACGGCCCGCGGGCCGGATCCAGCCTGTTTGAAATGAATAAAACTAAAAAAAAAAAAAAAAAAAAAAAAAAAAAGACCGTACCCTTTTATGTAATGATGTTTACTTTGAATTTATATTAGTTCACACAAACACTCCATCCATGCTTTTGTTCCGGCCCTCCGGTCCAGTTTAAGAACCCATTGTGGCCCTCGAGTCAAAAAGTTTGCCCACCCCTGTTTTAAACGGAGTGTGTGACAGTGCAGTCCTCAGATACACACTTAGGATTCTTTCCTGAGCAGTAAGACCTATGAAAGGAACAGAAATAAGTCATTTTTCTAATTTAAAATCCAAGCACCTAACTTCGTCCTTAATGCAGAACCGGCTGTAACAAACACGGGAGACCTTTCTGTTCATTATTCAACATTCTGCATTTTTTAAATGTTTTCTTTGTCCACAGACACTCTTCCAGAGCTACGCTGCGTGCAGAGCCACCTGGAAAGGTGAGGAGTGAGGAGGGGCACTCCATTCCCCCCAGAGACTAGGCAGCTCCGCCTGGAGGCCTTTGCCTAGAGCAGTGATGGCAAACCTATGACATGCGTGTCACAGGTGACATGCAAACTCATTTTTTTGGTTGATTTTTCTTTGTTAAATGGCATTTAAATATATAAAATAAATATCAAAAATACAAGTCTTTGTTTTACTATGGTTGCAAATATCAAAAAATTTCTATGTGTGACACGGCACCAGAGTTAAGTTAGGGTTTTTCAAAATGCTGACACGCCGAGCTCCAAAGGTTCGCCATCACTGGCCTAGATGCTGCCTTGGCCTAAAGCGCCCTTCCCTCAGGAGTCTGCCCAGCTCACTTCCTCGCCTCCCTCTGCTCTTCCAGAATCTCAAGGACCCCTGCCCTGACCATCCTGTGATACTGCCGGCCCCTGCCCCAAACTCCAGAGCTTCTCATTTCCCCTTCCCTGCTCGCTCGCTCTCTCTCTCTCTCTCTCTCTCTCTCTCTCTCTCTCTCTCTGCAAAGCAAAGGCCAGCTACTAAGTAATACTATTTATTTCTTATCTTTAGTGTTTACTGCTTGCGCATGATTGCGCGCGCGCACACACACACACACACACACACACACACACACACACACTACTATAGTAGCTCCTTGAAGGAGTCATCTTTATGTTTTGTTCTTGGACCTATCCCAGGTGCCTAGAGCCGTTCTGGGCACTTACTAGGCTCTCCTTTCATATATTTGGATTTAAAAAAAAAAAGGCCTGTGGCTCCTTTGGCTGTAGCCAATCCTTGGAAGATGGGTAGCCTTTCCGTGAGAGAGACACAGGGAAGGCAGTGGCTTAGGGGAGCGACACCAGCACCTGCTGGAAGACAGGAGCAAGGAAATCGCTTGGGAAGCAGGGAGGAGGTGGATCTGGCGGTGCCTTGAATGTGAGGCATCAGTGTCAGTATAAAGGGTGTGTGGATCTTCTGTCGTAGACAATAGGAGTGAAGGACTGGGCTACGAAAGGGCCTTCAGCAGGGAAGGGCCTCTTGATGCCAGTAACATTTTAGGACGATTAACCTGGAGGTGGGGTGGCTTGGGGTGGGAGTGGTCCCTTCCGGATGTTTTCCTCGGTCCTGCCCTGCCTTCCCTTTCCTCGGGAGCACTCGGGGCAGTGGGCTGTGCTGTGCCTCTCTCCTCTGTGCTCTCCGCGGCCAGCTAAGCCAGGCTCAGAACCTGCAGGTGTGTTGCACAGCTTCGATTTGGAGGGAGGCTCTGCCTATTCTCCTTTCTCCGGGTGAAGTCAGGGGAGGCATTACCACGGCCTCCGCTTAGAAATGGCATGAAGCTCCCTCCTGCTTCCGCACCTTCAAGTTCATGCCGCGGTCCCCAAGAGGGAGGAATGGATGCTCGGAGATTTCCCTGAGCAACACTGAAATTCCAAAGGAGTAAAAGGCGGGAGACCTTGGCCCGGTGCGTCGAGAACGGGGACAAATTTAGAACTGGAGCCCTGTGTTGCAATTGCCAGTCAAACTCCAGAGGGGTGACCAGCCCATTAGCGCAGGCACCTGGGAACTGACTTTTCTGCCACCTCTCCAAATACACACACACACACATACTAGTACACGTGTGCACACTCACACGCATTCCTCGGGCTCTGGGAAGATCAAGGCCCACTACAAAGCGCCCGTTCCCCAAGACTCCTAATTTATGTTGGGGACTAGCTGTAAAGCTCCCCCTAGGCCCCACCTTCCCTTGCAGCGCTAAAGAGCATGGCACACCGCACTAAAGGCGACACTTAATCAAAACCCGTCTTCTCTCACAAACCCTGAACCTCCAGCTCACGAGAGTCACCAAGGCCAAGGGACGAGGCAGGGAGCGACTCAGGTGGCACACGCTTTGATTAAGATGATACAGGTTCCTTTTATTTCACTTGCATCAGAGTTGTGACATTCCAGATCTGTCCCCTTTTTGATTTGACAACAGCACCTTTCAGTAGAGGTTGACCCCCAAAAAAGACCGGGACTTGTTCTCTCTTCAACCCGGAGTAGGCGATAATTTCTCTGAATCCCCTTCAGTAATGATCGTCAGAGCTTCTGATCTTCCCAAAAACAAGTTTCCCAGGGAACGTGGTTAAACGGAAGCACAAACCCGGCTGCCTCTGGTCCTTTCTAAGGGGCATCTAAGTACCCCTCCTCTCTAGGCCCTGGGAAAGGCCGCCCCTTCTCTGCCTCCTTCCTTGTGTCTTTATTTTTTCTGAGACTGAAATCCTCAAATGAATTCTTTCGCCAGATTTCTGGGGCAGGAAACCTACTTCCCTGCCACACGGGACTTCAGAAACTTCTGGAGGCTCCAGGGTGGTTCCTTTCTATAGCATGGGCCATGGTTTTCCCCAGGAGCTCTGTGGGATTTTGTTTTAATATTATTTAATCACTGGTTACTTCAATGTGCTCAATATATACTTATTGAATCCCAATCACAATGATGTAGGTGTCAAAAGAGACAAAAATTTACTTCTGCTTTCAAGAACCTTTCAATCTCGAAGTAAAATGCAATCATGGTAATACATGGTGGGATGTGAGGAGTGGCTACAAGAACCCCCAAAGCACAGGCAGCTCATGGATTAAGCACCTACCACGTGCCAGACCCCGTTCTAGGCCCTGGGGCGCAGCTGCGTACAAAGTGGATAGCATTCCTGCCTGCGAGGCACTTACGTTCTAGTTGCGGCTGGGTGACATTTCCGACTTTGTATATTTGGCTTTTCAACAGCCCACTTTCAAACTCTTTACATTGACCTTCTCCGACCGCCTTTGTGGACTGCATTTGGACAAGTGGCACATCTGAACGGTCGCGCCACGTCACACCAGCAGGACTCCAGCTCAGTTCCTTCAGTGCCGGTGCTCTAATTAGTCACTAAAAATGAGCAGAAACTTAAAAAACAAAACTTTATATGCTATTGGTCAGTCTTGTAGTTCTCATTAACTTACAATTGAGACAAAGGTGGAAACATTAGGAAGGAAAAAAGAGAAGCTATTTAAAATGCTGTAGAAAGATATCAAATGTTGCCCTGACTGGTTTGGCTCAGTGGATGGAGCATCAGCCTGAGGACTGAAGGGTCCCAGGTTCGAATCCGGTCAAGGGCATGTACCTGGGTTGCGGGCACATCCCTGGTGGGGGGTGTGCAGAAGGCAGCTGATTGATGTTTCTCTCTCATCGATGTGTCTAACTCTCTATCCCTCTCCCTTCCTCTCTGTAAAAATATCAATAAAAATATTTTTTAAAAAAGAGAGAGATCAAATGTTGAGCTCGATATAGTTAGGATTTTAAAAATTGATTTCTTGTTTCTGTGAGAGTGGTCTTTCTTATAATATGTGCTGGCAATAGCTCAGGCAGGCTGTTCAACAACAGCCTTTTTCCACTCCAGCGGGCTGGGAGCTGGGGCAGAGGGGGGCGGGGGGGCGGGGGCCAGCCCAGCACCAGTAAAAGTCTCTTACCTTTTACTCAAGGACTTATAGGAAAATAGAATAATCAGCATATTTCTTTCTTTTTTATTTTATTTTTAGTTTATTGATTTGAGAGAGAAACATTGATTTTTGTTCCACTTACTTATGCATTCATTGATTGTTTCTTGTATATGCCCTGACTGGGGATCGAACCCGCAACCTTGGTGTACTGGGACGATGCTCTAACCATCTGAGCTACCCAACTGGGGCTACCCAGTGTAATTCAAAGCAGAGGGGGAGGGGAGGGTTTTCTGGAAAAGCCTTTGTTTCAGTACGAAGAAGTGGTAAGAAAACAGCAAAGAATCCTCCTTCTCAAGATGAGTTAAGGCTCGGGCTCAAGACTGTAGACTGACCTAGAATGGGAAGGCCGAGGGCCAGTCCCAAGAAGAGAGTAAGTGTCTGGCCTGCCTTGCCTTTTCTAACTAGAGGCCTTCTCCATTGTCCTGAAGACAGTCTTGACCCCGCCCCGAGCCTCACAAGGCGCCTGGCACAGCATTATTCCTGGAACAAGCCTGTGAGAGTCAGGACAGGTGACAGCCAGCACACAAAGGGGCAGGGTAGCATGTTGGGGGGTGAGGGCAGCAAGAGCAACCGGAAGCTGTAATAACAGGAACTCTGCGTGGTAGTTACTCAGTGGCATACGGTCTGTGTCACACGGGCCCCTGAACTGCTCATGCAGCCCCGTGGGTGCACAGGAGGAAACCACAGCCCTACAAGCCAGTGAGCGCTGGGCGAGGATGCCTGCATCTGCTCTGGGACAGAGGCGCGTCCCCCTTCTTGTCTGGCAGTGGTACCGCAACCCCTGGTCAGAGCTTACAGGAGTTACCTTTGGCCCCTCCCTCTCTCATCACTTCCTTACTGTACTGGAGAGCTGACTCCCATGTCTAAACATCAGGATTAAGAGCCTCTGTACAGCCCGGCTGGTGTGGCTCAGTGGTTGAGCATTGACCCATGAACCAGAAAGTCACGGTTGATTTCCGGTCAGGGCACATGGCTGGGTGGTGGGCTCAATCCCCAGTAGGGGACACGCAGGAGGCGTGATCAATGATTCTCTCTCATCATTGATGTTTCTCTCTCTCTCCCTTTCCCTTCCTCTCTGAAATAAAAAAATATATTTTAAAAAAAGAGTCTCTGTACAGGCCAGTGTGCTCAGTTGGTTAGAGCATCACTGGCATTGATGTTTTTCTCTCTCTCTCTCTCTCTCCCTTCCTCACTCTAAAATCAATGAACGTGTCCTCGAGTGAGGATTAAAAAAACAAACAAAAGAAAGAAACCTCAGTACAGAATTCAGTCCCCGCCGAGGCGGGTAAACAGGAGGGTTTGGTTCCTCTCTGTGAGTTTCTGTGACAAAATGATGCCGTTTCTGACCCCCCGACTCCAAACAAGACACTGTTTGCACCTGGAGGAGGGAGAGAGCAGAGCCCCAGGTGGAAGCAGAACTGAGAGGGAGAGCCCTCCGCACACCCTCGGCCCCAGCAAAGAGGCTCCCCTGTGGCCTGTGCTGAGGAGCTGGGCAGCCGCTCCTCCCGTGGGGAGCACGGCCCTGGCAGGCTCTTCTGTTTGTGCCGTGGGAGGTTTCCGCTGGGAGGACTTGGCCGTCAGAGGCCCCCCGCACGGGACGCCCCTTGGTGCGGAGGGGAGTGCGGCCCTGG